CAAGAAATAATAATATGCTTTTTTCTTCAACCGTCTCAAAACTATGATATTTTTTAAGTTCATAAATAATAGTATTTTTTTAATAAATGGTGTCCCACAAGTAGCGCAGGATTTGAAATTAGCGCCATTATAATTCTGAAACACAGCCGCACTGGGTGACCGACCATAAATTTCAGTTGTTGATAGATAAATTGCCTAGCAATGCAGTGCAGTAATACTTTTTAGTGAAAATTTAAATGTTTTTTGATATGTCATAACCAAAATTACCATCAATATAATAAAATTGTTTGAAGACATAAATAATTAAAATATGTTGTTGATCAAATGAACATATAACAGAAATTTTCTACACATTACATACAAATTATTATTATTTTTTATTTTTAGTAGAAAACTTTTTTAGGAACGCCTATGTAACTCATTAAATTTTATTGTAAGGCGTTTTTTATACATATTTAATTGACCTCGGAAAGATACAATCAATGCTTTAACCATTCATGGAAATTGATTAATCCCAATCCAAACCAGCTTTCAGTCCTTGATACAGAATTTTTGATAGTACAATGCTATATCCTGTACTAACAATGTCGTGTCTAATTTTAGTTAATGTAACTCTCCTAATTGCAAACATAGAGAGTGTGTGCTTTAGTTATCCACGAAAATTGCTCTAGATATTGTAACAAAAGCCGGGACGCGTAATAAATTATTTGTTAGTTCTCGTAACGGATGGTCCAAAAAGTAAAATATTTCAGTCAATACTAATTATCGAAAGTTGAGGGCTCTCAAGTGGGTTTAGCGTCGTCCTTCCGAGAAATTTAGCAATATTTTTTGAACAAGTTCACTTAGAGTCGAGGCCATGTGTTGAGCAGGTATAAAGAGAAAAACCGATATTTTTAATAACGCGGCGCGAAACCACGAGAAGAGCGTAGAGGTTCCAAAGTAGAATCAAATCAAATTGTTAAATTGATAGTAATTGGAAAAGAAAGTAATATATGAAATAGCTGGTTTTTTGGCGGATTTTCCAAGCTATAAGGATATATTAAATCAAATCGACTAATCCGTCCCGTATCGCTACACGGAGTCACTAGAGGAAGGCTAGGGTTACTTGTAAGTAAGTTTAGTTTCAAAATTATTTAGACAGTTGTAAAATCAGTCAATTGGATAACTATTAATATGGCATAGTCATGCCAAAGCGTCCCGATATTTAGGGTTCCCGCCAGTAATATAAGGACAGAAACGTTTGGACCCAAGAAATGGGCGTGTCGAAGCGAAATGTCGAATTCAGGAGAGATCTACGAAAAAAAGTCAGTTCTTCTTTAGGTTCCACATTGAGCAGTCGACTTAGTTTTAGAGTTTCGAGCTAATTAACTAAATTAAATAATGGATAGTCATTCCAAATTTTGCTATGAATCTCGGTACGCCGTCGCGTGTCAATAAATGAATTAATAATGTTGTTCGAGCCGTTGTGTTGTTATTTTGTTTGTTTGTTTTGTTTATTGTTATTAAAACCCTTCCTATAGTTCTGGTGTTTCTTTTTGTTTCTCTCAACTTCAGTGTCACCCTGTACAGCCAGCCACTGGATTACATTCTACGTAAACAATAGAGGATAAGTGCCTGAAATTCATTCTCTGAACATACAACATTTCTAAGTTCACACGGATTTATTAAAGTATAATGATAATTAGAAACTCCCTTTCGAGAATTGTATAGTAAACTCTTCTGAAATCCAGACTCGTTATGATACTGGTAATAACGGTAGATAGATAATTAAAGAAATAACCTCTCAGGTTACAATATCCCTGGAAATTCATCTTGATCCCATCCAGTTCTTCTAAACAAAAACCCACCTTTAGTAAAGCCTCACTATGCCGCACGTGTTGCCAGAACGTCTTTTAAGCGGGATTTCTTTAAGATGTTGCTGTGTTCGTCGTTGCATCTTCATTCTCCTGAGAGCAATCCCACAAGGGGCAACCAACAAATCCTTCGCCTGGTTTAATCTGCAACACGCCGAGATTGGGAGATGTGAATAAAATATTATCGGGAAGTCCCCTGATCCTGCACGAGCGAAATTGGAATCATCCGCGCAATCGGGTAGAAAGCGCCCTATCGAAAAACAGGGAAGGAAGTTCTGCATGCCGTGCTTGAAAATAAAACTTACGCTAATGAAAGCTGTTAACAATATTTTTTAGAAATTATTTTATACACTCATGAAAATTTTATGTAAAATTACACTTTTGACGCTACATTAAATTAACGCTTTGTATATAAATGTGAATTTACAAATCGTTATACGTATACTTACGACACATGATGTGTGATTTTACTAAGAAACAGAAATATCGCATGTTATTAAAAAAATACAGGGTGTCCCGCAGAAGAACCGACACAGGGCCGATGCATGTAGGGGTGTCCAAAATATTGTAATTTAACCAAACTTACCTATTAGTGGAGTCAAGATAGATTTTGACTTCGCCAAAATTACTGGAAGAGAGAACTTTTTATTTTTCGCTTTGTAAAATTGTCAGAAACAACATATAAAAGTAACCAACTGAAGAGTGTACGCTATTATTTATTTAACAAATTAGTTGCAAAATTACAGTTTTTGCAAAATATATAAAAAAAATTTATTTAAAAAAATTGCGCCATTCGAAATAACAGGAAATTTTACATAAAAAATGTTAATAAAGTTTTTTTCTAAAATGCGAATTGAAGGCTGTAGAATTTTTTTTCTAACCCGCTACACTAAATTTGTTATAACTTTTGATTTAATTGATCAAATCGACCTCACAAAAATTTAAATGAAAGAAGAGTCATCCGGCTCTCAAAATTTTATGTCTTTGAACTTAAGAAAAAAGAAAAATATATAGTACGTATACAAAGTTACGTCATTCTATAATTTTGTACAATAATAATAAAATAGCTGTCATTCTTTTAATTTTTAAAATAAATATCTGTAACTTTCACAGATTTCTCTTCAAATGACAATTGAAACAGTGAGCGATATGGAAAAAAATCTTAAAAATTTAATTTGAAAAATATTTATATGGTCTAAAAATTACAAATTTTACTTTTTAGACCATACTTTATAGACCAAAAACTATAGTTGTAAATGTGATATTGAAACTTTATGAGATAACTTTTTAAAGCTTAAAATCTCTACTTAAGATGGTGCATTTTATTTTTCTTAAAAAATTGAAATAATAGTTGAAAAAACAGAAAATAACAAAAAATAAAAATATTTCATAAAAAATCCGTGAAATTTATTGTTAAATAAAGTTTAATAATGTACAAAAAAAAAATTGTTTAATAACCCATCAAAGAATTAAGTTAAGACCTTAAAAAAAGTAAATCCAGCGAAAAATATTTTTTTTTATTTATAGTAATAAGTGGAAAATTGTTATAACAGCAAAAAAATACCGTTTTTTGATGCATTGATTTAATATTCATTTTTAAAACGTATATTCTGTATCTGAAATTGTGAATATAAGTTCTCTTATTGATGTAGACACAGATATGAGTTTGTGTGACGAAGCTAAGCAGTGACCACACCAAATATTTTTTTGTTACTTACAGTTTTATTTATTTTAAAAGCATTTTTCGTTTATAAGAATTAAATAATTATTATTATAAATGGTATAAGAATATGATTTTTATGTTTTCGAGTAAACTGCAGTTATCAGTGTGTTAAAAAGTGTATTATTCACATATTTTGTCCATTTTGAGGTTATACTTTAGTACACTTGTAATTCTTTAATGTAATATTATTACTTAATATTACAAATAATCTTCAGTTTGCATTTAAGGTATTTATATTCGCTTTCTTTTATGCTAAACTGTAAATGTATGAGTTTAATATTTATATATGAATATTGATCCATTTTTTAAATAATTAATGAATAAATAAATAATCGGCGACGTTGATTTTGATTTTGTAATTTTGTTTTTAAAATCAGTGTTTTTTTTCAATTTTATTGGCTTAAAGCTTTAATTGCCCAGTTATTTTTGAAGAAGAGCACGGACTCGATGAGATTTAAAAATTAATTATTTTGTAATAAATTTGTTTTTAAAAAAATAAAACCTCTATTATATTTTCAATAAAACCTCTTCATTTTTCGAATCTCTATATTACAAATATGAGGGAATTTGATTTAAAACTGATAATTGTTAAATAAATTGTTTAAAATAGTCGGCCATATTGGATCAGCCATTTTGAATTTTCATTTTCCGACTTCATATTCTTGTTCAGCGACATCAAAAACCCCTATATTGTTAATTTGAAAGAATTCGATTTTAAAATTCATTGAATTATTTTAAATGTTCTTAAAAAACTATTTATTATTGTTTAAACAATTAAAAAACAATAGCGTACAAAAATAAGTTTATAACTTTTTTCTAATACTTCCCATAATTACTTCGAAATAATGCGTAATTTTAAGTTGACTCCACTATATATACAAACTTTCACCCCTGAGGAGTTATTAGCCCCCGAAGTGGGGCCCTATTTCGAAAAAAATTAATGTCTCTGCAACACTTTACCACAGAAGAACAAAATTTGGTACATGATTTAAGTTTATTACTGGTCTTCTTTGACTAAGATTTAAAGTTAATTGAAGCACTGCAAGGTGTTCATTGGGGACGACTCACCCCTAAAATTGTACCGAACTTTTTTTTCATTGACCGAATTGAAAAATAATAATATTAATTCACAGCAGAATTTAATTTAAAAAAATTTTTACTCTTGTTAAATTTTAAAGAACTTTATGGTTTTCAAAAAAAACCGTATTAACTGACACAAGATTTTAACAGTGTTTATTAGAAAATAATTGAAAAGTCAGTAGTACAGCACTTTTCGCTTGTAGTGGCGGAAGGGGCGGAGGATTATAATTCTGTAGATTGTACTAATCGAAACTTGTCGATTCAACGCATATAAATCAAACAATTTATTAATTTTCAGGCCTTAAGGGACCGTCCTACCCTTCGAAGCGGGGTGCAATGGCGCCATGGATGGCGAGAACCGCATCATTTTGAACGTGGGGGGCATCCGCTACGAGACCTACAAGGCCACTCTGAAGAAGATTCCCGCCACGAGGTTGTCGAGGCTCACCGAGGCCCTAGCCAACTACGACCCCATCCTCAATGAGTACTTCTTCGACAGACATCCGGGGGTGTTCGCACAAATCCTCAATTATTACAGGTAGGCCGATTATCCGATCGTAAAAATTATTCAGTCAATGCGGTGATTTCAAGGGTACGAGCCTACCTTTATCTGTGTAGGGACCCTGGTTTCTTTCTGTCACCGGAATTGTCTTCAATTCAAAGACATGGGAGACAATGTAGATTTGTATAGACTTTATTATACTCCACACTAATACACTCTACACTAACACACTCTACACTAACACATCTATACTAACATATTGCATTAACATCTACACTAACACAGTCTACAGTAACACACTACACTCACACAGTCTACACTAATACTAATACTCTACACTAACACACTATACACTGCACTAGCACATCTGCAGTAACACATTACACCAAAACACTACACTAGCACACTCTACACTAACACACTCTACACTAACACACTCTACACTAATACATTCTACACCAACACACTCTGCACTAACACACTTTACACTAACACAGTCTACACTAACACAGTCTACACTAACACAGTTTACACTAATACAGTCTACACTAACACACTACACTAAAACAATATACACTAATATTCTACACTAACACGCTCTACACTAAAACAATCTACACTAATACTCTACACTAACAGATATGCTAAAAGCGTATTTGTGTGCAATGAAAATGCACATGTGACAAAAAATGTATTAGTGGATTGGTACGACATCAAGGAAATGTTTCACATAAACTTTACAACGCTGATAAATACGATAAAAACCAAGTTTATTAATAGTTTTATTTATCATCGCGAACACTACACAGCTGATCTGCGTTATGCGTAAATTCGTGGTGAAGTCAGCGGTTTCCAACAAGTTTCCTTCCCATTAAATTCATCTTGTTTATTCTTAATTTTTTCGCAAACAAGTTTTATATATATTTTCCACATACCAACCCCTACTGTTGTTTAAAATATATGTATATATTTAAGACTCGCCCCGTATAAGTTTAATTATCCAAAGTATCGATGCAAGTTTAAATATTCAGGGCAACTGCGAATGTTGTTCAAAAGTTTGAGAGCCGAACTGTTCCCGTGGAGCTGCAGTTAGCGAACTTACCGACTCGAGATAAAGCCGCTTAAAAAGAACTCTGTACGAGTGCTTGGGTCGTTAGAACTAGTTACAACAAGTAGCACTGAAAAGAAGTAGACGTTTATATTTAAATGTTCGTTCCTGTTCTGACTTTTAAAACCTTTTGGCTCATTTAATACACTAATCACAAAAATTAAAGGATAAAGAAATCTTAAATTTTAGGTGATTTTCAAAAGACAGCAACTTGGCGAAAAATGGTCGTAGAGAAATAAAATAAAGTAAATTGAAGCTCGAGGTTTTCCAGTTTCAGGTTCATAAAGTTAAATTTTTTTGTTGACCACTTTTAAGAAATCAATTGAAAAATTCCAACTTTTTGCTTCTCTTTCAAAAGGTCCACGAGCTTCAATAGCTTCCTTTTGGCAATCCCACCTATCACCTCTGTTTGTTTGATTCAACACAATTCATTTGGGAAATGTGCGATCCTTTGTCGCTGTTATTGTCTTTAAAAAAATTACTTTTCTGGCTTTGATAATTAGTTAGCCGCTTTCAGAATCATGTTTGGTTGAAAATTAACGCCTGTACAGAGGCTTAAAGTTAATAACTTTTGGAGCCTCCGTTATAAACAAATAGAATTGTGCGAAAACTATTACACCTACAGCGTCCACTTTTGGCACACTTTTGAAGTATGACAAAACCCTCAACTTGTCATAGGTTTTATAAAATTTGAACAATAAATGCGATAGTTATAAACAAATTAAAAAATGGGCACTTTTCTTGTTTTTTTGCAATAACTTTTTTGTTTATTTACCGATGTTAATTTAACAAGTCTCATTTTGTAGATAATTTTACCCCTATAAGCTGTTAGTGAGTCACTTTTCGCTAAAACTGATGGTTTTCCCTGCAAAGTGAAAAAACTGTTTTCATCACTTATTTGTTTAAATAGAAAAGTTAGCTAATAATAGTTTTTGACTCACGAGATGAGAGATGTCTTGTATTATGCCTCTTAGACAATTTTACAATAATCTCGGGGATAGGACTTTTTTCGAGTTTCTCTTTTATTTTCGCTAATTTTCCTGGTGTAAATATAAAATATTAATTTTATCTCAGTATAACTTATTTAATAAAGAAATTTTCGATAAAACATGATTGAAACTTTGATCAATATATTTATTACAAGAGAACAAAATGCAAATTGATTTTAGTAATCCTGTAAAGAGACAATCATTTATTTTTTAAGATGAAAGAAGGCACATATTTATAAATTAATTGCTCGTTAAATATTTAGGTACTACATTTTATTTATACTTTGGTACCTTTGTCTATCTTTTATTCAATGCTGTGTAAAATCTCAGTAAGTTTTTCCCCTGTTTTAAAAAGTTACATAGAAATAAAAATAGTTCTGTTTTATACTGTTTTTAAATAGGAAATAAACAACCAGGTATACAAATTGTGCACTCTTAAGTTATTTTTTCTTCGTTGATGTATTAATAAAGTCGTTTAAACTTTAACAACTCCAAAATTTCTGGAGCATAACTGATAAGGAAGAATCATCCCCTAATTTCAATTTCTAAGCTGCTCCTGCAATCTTGCAGGGAACAATTAAGTAGATCAAAGGCGGCTTTTCATCAGGCACGTCGAGACAGAATCCGCTGCAGGACTGCAACTGTCCTAGCATTCGCCGAGAGTATAATGCTTGATTTATGGCGCTTAATAGTTGGCTTATTCAGATAACGACATTTCAATCTAGGATTATTACTGCTATAATTGATGAGGTTGACTTCGCGCTTACGAAAATCGATCCCTTCTCCCATCATGCGGAAATTAGACCAAGGTGGGTACTGTAGTGAAGGTTGGCTCATTCAAATTGTTAGGAAAATTATACAAATCTATTTCATTTTTATCCATTACTTTTTCAAAAATTTTCTATTTTTACGTGCAAACACCACTTTGTAGTCCCAGTCCCAGTTACAGGATAAGGTACACTGTAACTGTTTCATTATTATTGTTTCCTCTAAAAAAATCACATTTACATCAGTAATAAGCTGAGTTTAAGAGGGCCGCCTCGTAACCGTATTAAATAATCCCAAATTCTGGATCCCGCCGTCGGATCTTCCTTTCAGTTGTCTGGTCCCGATATCTGGGGAGAAGCACTGCAAAAGCCCGGATAAAAAATCTAATTTTCGCTTTAATAAAGCACCAAACAAGTGCTTTGAACTCCCAACCGTGCAGACTACGTTTTGGCTGCCGCTAAATAATCAATTTCGTAATATTTCACGTTATTAATAATTCCGAAGCTGTTGGGAATCACCTGTGAAGGGAAATAGAATCCATGAATAAGGGATGCCGGGCAAAGGGGAGCACTTCGTGTCAGAGGTTTAGTGAAAATTATTGCGTTTGTTTTCATTTGGAAATAACACTGCGGTAGAAAAAAAGTTAGTTGTAGTAAGCAAGGCGCCAGGCAAATATAAATGAGATATAAATAGTGCCGCAAATTAAGTGGAATAACCTTAAAAAAGACTGCAGATGAATTTCCATAATGTCACGGAATGTATTGATGTAATTTTAATGAAAGGAAGAAAATTCCAATATGGTAACCTCCAATAATGCCCATTCAAAAGTTTAATGAGAACTGATTAGAAATTGGTCCCATTAGTGAAAGGAATACTATTTAGAAGTAAAAGATCTTCAGTTGTTTTGGAATATACCCAATCACAGAAAAATTTAACCGTCGGTCGATGAAAATCACCTGCTTGCACACTAGATTATGATGCAGATAAGATTGATCATATTCAAAATCTTTAAAATTGTTTGGTGATATAAAATAAAGCATTTTTCGAGTGTTTTCCGATGGTTGAGTTTGACGATGTGTAAACTGAAGAATTAAAAAAAATTATTAGGTTATGAAAGAAGTAACAGCTAGTCTATTAGACAGCAAACAGATTTATTTAAGATGTTACATTAAATACGAGTACCTAGTATTAACTGTCGCAACCTTATACTTCTTCCAGTATAAGAATTTTTGTCCAATTTTTGCTTTGTAGGTAATTCATAGGTTGGTTTTTAGTAACTAAAATCATATTTCAATAACTCGTCACTAAATTTTTTTATTCACTAGTGAAATATAGTACTTTAAATAAAGAAAATGACATTAAACAACGAATTATTTCATTTTTTTTTATTTATTTGTAAAACCTTTATTGTCTAAAACATTTTAAATAAAAAAAATGCAAAAAAATAGTTACCCACTAAAAATTCATTTTTAGGGGGGTAGGGGGTGGTTTTACAAGGGTAGAAATAATCCAGAAGTAATTTTTTCGTCGGGCTACCCCAAATTAAAAAAAAGAAGGTTCTGCGTTACATAGAAGCTGAGATATTACAAATTTGACATTGTCAGTTTTTTCTTGGTTGAGAAGAAGATCCCCCCACCACCACTCCCTGAAGGGTTACTGCCGCGTACCCTTACTTTGACGGGCTCTGGATTGATCAATTATGGGCAAATTCAATTAAAATTAACAGGGCATAAAGTTTAAACCTTCATTTACAAAATGTTAAAATTTCAGGTCTTGATGTTTATAACAAATTTTTTTTCAATTTGTAGGTTTTTTTACGAGCTTTCGAATGGTGTATATAACTTATTTCGAAAGTTAAAAACCACGGAGTTATTTTATTTGTGTATTAGGGAAAATAGTGCCTTTTATTTGGTAACAATTATATACAACTAAATTTGAAAAAAAAATTAATTTTTTTTACAATTTTTTCACAATTTATTTGTAGCTGTTATTTCTTTTGTACTTTGATCGAAAATAGCTGTTTCTAGCAAAATTTTAATACAGCCTATGGTTTCGATTTATCTTCAAAATTGAAAAAAATCAGTAGCGTCCTACTATTTTTCCCTTAATAAATAATATATTTTGTTACATATCTTTACCTACGCCGATAGCGATATAAAACGTTATTTAGT